TTCTTTACCTGCACCACGGGTGAACACCATGGACTAGAGAAAGGTTCAATAACACCATCCTTTAACATTCCTTCAATCATGGTTTCCACTTCCTTTTCACGTGCTACCGGCAATCTTCTTGGCCACTGCCGGATAGGCAATTCTTCTCCTTTGTTTATTTTGTGTTGAACTAAGCCAGTCTTTCCTATGTCAGTATCGTTTGATGAGAATACGTCGTCATACTTGAGTAACAACTTCTCCGCCTTGACCATTTCTTTCGGGGAGAGAACGCTGCGACAGTCTTCCAAAAGTGTGGTCACTCTCGTTTGTGCATCCTTACTGGGGGTCTCACTCGATAGATATTGGCACCGACGTAACCAATCCACTTCCTCACAAGTACCAACCAGCGTGCCTCTTTCTATAATCTGTTCCCGGTCACAAAGGTTCAGCACACGTACTCCTGAGATGTCAGTGGTTCTGACCAAGGTTCGAGCTACTTTCCATGGAAGGTCATTGTTTACCCTTTCCACAAGTACACAACGTGAGCTTGCCCAGCTTTTCGGGGAAGACTAACCGGAACAATCGTTTACGATCTCGGCGGAAGAACAATCTTCTTAATGCTGTACACGTTCCCTGGTAACGCACCTTCCATAAAAAGTTCCTCCTGTCCACATTTCAAAACACCTTGCTTAAGGTCGATCTCACAACAGTTATTCCTCATAAAGTCTAGGCCTAGGATGCAGTCGTCCATTATATCAGCCACGATGACATTATGCAGGTAGTTCACGTTGCCTAGCTTCAACTCCATCTTCTTCTCTCCACGGACGGGTATACGCTGACCGGTGGCTGTTACCAAATTAATGCGTTCTCGGTTGTATGCGGAGTCCCCAAGGAACTGACTTATAAGTTGGGAACTAACAACCGTACGAGAGGCTCCAGTGTCTATGGTCAGTTTACACGGCATTCCGTTGACCTCGCCCTTGATGATTAGACTGTTCCCATCATGGGTTTGTGAGATCGAGATCCTTGGGGCTCTTTTAACATCAGCCAGCACCCGCCCCGCAGTTCTGGCTTTTACTCGTTTCCCTGCTGCTGCTGGGCGGTGCTGTTGGCCGCACTACCCTCCTGAGATCGTTCACCTTCCCTTTCTAGGGTTCGCTTAGGGCAGCTGGATCGAAGATAGCCCTTTTCCCCACAGCCATAGCACCTAGGGCTGTATCCTTCGTTGCGGTCGCGAACCGTAGCTGCTGCAACCTCCCTGACACGATGGGAACGATGATCCTGCCGCACGGCTTCTACCTCCAGTGCATGGGCCAAGGCGTCCTTAAGCGTCTCGTGGTGCCTGAGCTTCACAGCAGCTCTGACTTCCAGGTCGCGGATGCCGTCGATGAATGTCTGGTCCAGGTTCCCATTAAAGAGCGCAGGTACAGTCCGGTATGCTTTTCGCACCAGCTTCTCCACCTCTAGAGCCCACTGCTGCAGGTTTTCGTTGATGCGCTGCACGCGATCTTTAAGCTGCGCACGAGACGTGTTCCAGGTGAGCGTCGCCATATCTTGCCTCCAATGCCTCAAAGAATTGCTCATAAGTCACTTCCTCACCGAGAGCTTCCAGAACTGTTAAGGCCTGGTCGCGCAGGCCTAGTGTGAGAGCAGTCATGGCCTGACTTTTACTCCAGCCGTTCGCCTTCATAACAGCCTCGAACTGGATTTTGTAGGCTGACCAGTAAGAAGTCCCGTCAAACGGTGGCACCTTGAACCCACGTAGCGAAGGTGTTGTAGCTACTACGGGAGCTGTAGTTCTATCTCCAAGCTTGAGTTCGTCCAGTGATTTCTTCATGTCAGCCATTACGTTGTCAACCCGATTGTTTACTTGGTCGATTCGGGTTTCAGCTTCCGACAGGCGGTTGTCATGTTGAGCAACCTTATCCTTCACCTCCCGTATCTCTTTTCCGAAGGTAGCGTGAAGGTCCTTCATGAGGAGCATCTGTTCTTCCAACCGACGGGCCTGTTCCTCTTATCGGCGGGCTTGTTCATCCTGTCCGCCCCGCAGCTGCTCTTCCAACCGACGGACCTGTTCCTCCTGTCGGCGGACCTGTTCCTCTTGTCGGCAGGCCTGTTCCTCCTGTCGGCGGACCTGTTCCTCCTGTCGGCGGGCCTGTTCCTCCTGTCGACGGGCCTGTTCTTGCAGCATCACCATCAGAGCACCTAAGTCAGGTGCTGCAGATGTAGGAGCTATTGACGGGCCTGCAGCCGATGGCTGGCCCTCCGACGTCTGCGGCGTTGTACCAGCAAATCTTCTTTGGTCCGTCTCCTGCTGGCGTTGACTTCGGGTACGGACACCCTCCGTTTCCTCCTTAAGTAAAATCGGCATGATTTTATCCCACTTCTGACACCAATTGTTACGAGCTTGAGGTTCGTGACAATAAAAATTGCCGATATAATTACCTAAATTAACACTTTAATTTTCTTCACACCAATTAAAACTTAAAACACTAATAATTAATCACACTGATTCACTTTATTTCGCTCCGAAGCTTCGCTTGTCTCGCCAAATTCAATACTTCTCCGATCGCACCTTGCAGCGCCTATAAATACACATTAGTACCGAAACATCCAGAACATTCAAGTAAATACGCGCACCAATCGTCAATGTGCCGAAAGTTCGAGTCTCAGCTTCTAGAAGCTTAGTTCTTCGTTTCGACAACAGATGGCGCTGTCGGTTGAAAGATTAGTGATGTCATTTTCTGGAAAGCTCTCTCCTCGCTCTGTTACCCGACACTAGATGGCGATGGATGGATTACCTGGCACTAGGCCAGATGTCAACTTAGCATGTTTTACCACAAAAAATGCCTCTTTTTTATAGGCAGCTGTGATCAATCAGAATTAATAAAATTTGCACACGGCACTAATGATTCCCGTCGACCAATCAGAGCGCAGAACGACCTTTTCTAAAGGAAATTTACAAATTTCTTTATGTGTGGTAAAACATACCTTACAATGTTTTTATACATTCCTGGCAGTAGAGATAACTTAACTTTATTATTTCGAACATTAAACATTCATAAAACTCTTAATTTACGTTTGTAAAAAATAAAAATAGTGGCGCGGTCTTCCTACGGTTTAGTTCCGTAGTAGCTAAGCTTTTTCCGCTTAACATATAAGTAGCGCCGCCAGGCGGCAGGAATGCACAATGCTTATCATGATAATATTATGTTTAAGAATCTATACAGAATACATTTTAGCTTCTTATTAAATTAAAATCTATTTTATAATAAGGAATTAGATTACAAAAGTGAAATATTGACATATTGTCGTTTTAAATTACTTTAAAAGAAAAAGAATTAAACAAGTCATTAAATTTACACTTAAATGTTAATATTTCTAATACAGCTCTTTAAATTATGATAAGAGAAAGTTCTAATAAGTAACTAGACTTATATCTCGTTTCTAACATTCTAATTAAACCTAAATAAGCAATTAGATTCACATTTTCGTTACAGACTTTTGTTACTGACTTTCGTTACTAACTTTGGTTACGTAATTTTAGATTGCAAATAAGAATTGAAGCTAGTATAAGTAATTAATTCACTTAATGTTATTAACACTATCAGTCTTTACACTTAGTTTTATATCACAAATAAGAATAAATTGAAATTAAATAATTAAATTCACTTGTCGTCGCTAACATTAAGAGAGTGGCCATATTCTTTGCACGATCGAAGCATTTCTTTCTTAACCCTGGCAACACAATTTTCCTTCATCACAAAATTTCTCCCCTAGTCGTGTAGTCATTTCAAACATTTCTTAACTACTAATTTTCTACATTGTTAGTTTAATTATTTCAGTATAATGGTGAATAAATACACAGCGTACCTGGTGGTAAGTGGATGACATGGTCCGTAGATACCAATACCTATCTGCGTTACCATCTCACAGGCTCGCCTTGATTGGATCAAGGATCGCCTTGTTGCCAGTAAAAAGGGCCCCCGGTTCTCTACCTTCGCGATACGAAGCAGCAGCATTAAGCTGCTATTTCACACTGGTATGCTGTGACAGCGTGGTCCTTACCTATGTTTGCTAGATCGAAAGAAGAAAGCGACAGTAGCCTAATGGCAGGGCGCGGACCGCGAACTCAAAAAGGTCGTGGCTTCGAATCCGCCATTCGACTACTGGCGTGAACCACTCGTAGCACAAGCAATTTAAGCTTACCACGAGTGGTTAAGGGGAATATTAGTAATGTAATATTAGCATTGTTAATATTCTTTATATAAAAAAAGACCAAATAACTAGATAAATTTTGAAAACGTCGGGATTTTGGGGTTTTTATCGAGAGAAATACATATTAAATTAAAAAGTTTATTTTTTGAGGAGAGGCTACAAAAAGTACTATTAAGAAAACTAATTTAAGTACACTTTAATTTTTATGTTGCCACATATATTTAGCACTGAACTTTACTAGAGTCCACCAATTTGAAAACTTTAGTTGCAATCATCGAGTTATATGTACTATGTAGTAGAGAAGCTATTTCAAACAAAAAATGTGCACTACTCTGTATCCGCATGCGCGGGAAACAGTAGAGTCGTGCATGCGCAGTTGATATAAACGCACGAAAATTGTCATAATAAATAATTGTTTATTTAGATTGTATTGTTAATCGAGTACATTTTTTTAAATTTTCGGTTATTTTGCATATGTACAAATTTAATATAAAATTATACCACTATACACTTAGCGGTTCTGAGTCACCTTCATCCATCGACTTCCTGCATGTCTCACCAGAGCCTCACTACATCTAGTAATAGGGTCGCTCTACATTTCGCCTATCAATAGTAGGGTGTCATTCGAGAACGTTTCTTCCCCATCGGTTGTCGGTTCTTAGAGCTATATGGCCTGCCCGTTACTTCTTCAACTTACTGATCCGTTGGAATATGTCTGTTACCCTGGTCGTACTGCGGATATCCTCATTTTAGGCAGTCATAATAAGTGCAGCAAAATCCTTATGCATACTGTCATTTTCCAGGGTGAAATGAATATTTTAGAAACAAGGGAGTGCAGGAAGAATGTAAAAGCAAGAAACTTCAGATGGGATTCAAACACTATGCTCTGTGCCAGGTCCCCTACAGCTGACACATGTAGCGTAAGTATCCGCTCCCAAACCGACTCACATGAAGTAAAATAGTCATCATCATCGTTACAGTCCTTCAAAAGTTCACTGCAGGACATACTTTACTGGAAACGAGGCATTGCATCTCAATCATTAGGGGTCACAACGCATCTGCCTTTTGATTCTTTATTGAGAAAAGATTGTAGATGTATATGACATATTGTAGATGTATATGGGTCATGTGGACCCACTACCGCACTATATATAGAACAGCTTCGAAATATCACTGGAGCGTTGGCCGCTCCCCTAGCCGATCACGTTCCCCAGCGGAAGATCCCCCCTTTTCCATTTAGCGGCCAAACGCCTGATGTATTGTCTTTTTATGATGTCTCAGCTTCTCTACACACGCCATACGAAAGTATTAAGCTGGTATTCTGTGAGAGCGTGGTCGTTCCCCGGTCGAGCTGACCTATTCGTGCTACAACCATAATATAGCTGCAGCGTGGCTCTACCACGTACAAAAATAGAAACTAAGTTAAAATAACTTTTCGTCTTCAGAAGCCCCCCTTTCACAGTGCTTCTTAACATCAAAGATAACTTTATTACGTGGTGGAGCCATGCTACCGCTATATTATATAATGTAGTTTTAGCACGAATGGATCGACTCGATCGGATCGATGGAAATTAAAGTTACAGGCTATATACGGACGACTTACTTGCTGAGCACAGGCCTCCCCTAATTTCTAGGAGGGTTTGAGGGCAAGGAAATGTCTGCCGCGCGCCCCAATGTTGGCGAACTTCACATGTCTTCGAAATAATTTTTTGTATTATTTGTCAGACATGCCGGTTTCTTCCACGATGTTTTCCTTCACCGCCGAGCACGTGGTAAATAAGCACTTAAATTGCAATTAACAATTTCATTGGTGGAAATTTGCAGCGAATGCTAACCAACTGAGCTACCACGGCACATAATACCAGCGTGAAATACCAGCTTAATGCTGCTGTGTTTCGTATGGCGAGTGTAGAGAACTGCAGACGCTTTTCTTTAACGATAACGAGGCTTTCTTAGTCCTCAGGGGTGACATCGTAATATCTTCGGTTTGATTCTTAACCAAGGATAAATGTGGATAATAATAATAATATTTTTTTTAAAGTCCCGCTAGGTTTCTTGGTTCTCCCCTGCACAGAATTTGTTGTATTTTCTGAATCAGTGGTAAATTAGACATAAGAGTGAGTTTCAATAAGTATTATATATAACCTATATTAAATACAACAAAGTCGCCATAATTCTATAAAAAAAAATTGCGAGACTAAAAATTTGATGTTTTTTCAGGGCGACAGTGGGGGTCCATTAATGGTTCCTTTGAACATGACGTCTAGACTTTGTGGACATTTTGTCACTGGTATAGTTTCCTGGGGTTCGGTATGCGGGTTAAACAAAGTTGGTAGCTACACGAGAGTCTCGAACCCTGACTATCTCAAGTGGATAATCAGTACAGTGTGGCCTGAACCCAAAAGAGCGCAACCATAGTGAAGGCATCCACGACATTTTCTGCCACCAGAGCGGCACAACGAAGTGAAAAAAAAAGTAAATTGACAGATTTTATTGCGAGGGAAGTTTATTTGTTTCAAATGTAAGGGTTAGGGCGTTATCATACTGGCAATTTGCAAGAGAGTTCAAAGCGAGTTGCAAATAGCCAGTGTGATAAAGTTCTTAATGTTTCTTTTTGAAATATAAGTTAATTTTATGTTAACTAGATTAGAAATTAATAAAACAAACTACAGATATTCTTAAAATTAAAAAAAAAAACTAACAAAAACAAATATAAGATCAAACCACTGAGGCATTGTTTTGTGTATTTACACGCTCTTAAATACTTTTTAAATTTTTGAATTAAAATTACTTTGTGTAACAACTAACTTTACCACACTCTAATCTAGCGACATCTGGTGGGCGTAAATTTATTAACCCTCATTATGTATATGTTATGGGCCAAGTGGTTAATCAGAGCATTGTTTATAATGCCCGGATAATATGAATAATGACAAGTCATATCGAGCTAAGTAACTATAGTCAAACAAATCTAAGAAATACCTTTTGACGTTTCACATTAATCATTCCGCAATAACTTTGCACAAACGTACTCACACGATTTAAATTAACCTTTTACGTAAATTCGAAGAATTATGAAGTTATCTATATTTCATTACAATGTGTATAGTTTCATATCACTAATTTAAATTTGAATCTTTCAAACAATCGACAACAATATTCAAATAATCGGTAAAAAATTCAAATAATCGAATCATTGATCTTTTTAATTTATTATTTGTTAAGTTAAATTTTTATTTTTAAAATTCCTTAAGTTACATGAATCATGAATAAAACAAGTTTATTTATTTTTTACTTTGTCAACTTAAATTTGTGCAGGCAAAAAAACTCATATACAAGACCGCGCTGAAAAAAAAACCACTACGTAATTTCAATCTCCCGCCATTTCGTGAGCTTACTGTGCGTAATTTTGTGATTTTGTATTTTCTTCTAATTTTGTGACTCGGCTTTAAATTTTTGAAATATTTTTTTATTTATATTCGTTGAAGCATGTGCCCATGTCACAAAGGATGATTGGGCAAAAGTGGCAGAAAAAAACAAAAGTATTGATTATGGATGACTTTGAAAGAGACATTAATTTTGATACATTATTGAAATTCAAATAGTAATTAATCTAAACAACGACAGCTTAACTAGTTCTATAAGTGATTGAATAAATTTATTTTTAATCTAGTTTCAATTTAAAATTTTTATAACTATGCGTCTAGAAATAAGCAATAACAACAATTTCGAAGAAATTGATAAATCTTGTGTTTTAAATTATCCGTTTTTAATTTATTCTGGTATTATTCAAACCAAAATGTAAATGAATATATGGTTGATATAATATAATGATTATATTATACCAACTCTAAATAATCGATTTTCGATTTTTTTAAGAATCGAATATTGTACATTCCCATTTTTTTGGTTGGCATGCTTAATGCAATAATTCTGACAGCTATCAAAATGTATTTCTTAGATTTGGTTCACTATAACACCGATTTAAACTTCATTTATCACATTATCTGGTTATTATGATTATTGCTACGTAACTGTTAGGCAATTTGATATAACCTTGTCTAATCTAATACACACAGAGATACACAGACACACACACACACACACACACAGAGACACATATACACACGCAGACACACACGTAAGCACACACACTCACAATATGTCTTTAAATTAACTAAAAATATTTTTTAGATTAAGTATTGAAATAAGTAGGTATCATATAAATTTTCGTTAAACAATGTTACGGAGAGGGGGGGATTTCTAACACAAGTATTTATTTATATACTTAAAAGAAATTCTCAATCATCAACACTAAAAACTCTGATACTGAATAAATTATTTGATTTAAACCACTATTAAGACAATACGTTAAAAATTACCAAATCTGAACTTAACGGGTATAAAAATGTCAAGGAAGGGAAAAACCACTTTGCAGTATCAAATAGCAGCAAAGGGAATTCCTAAAAAAATACCTTTCATTAAAAACTTAATTCCAAACAACAATTTCAACATTTATTAAAAAATCCTGATCTAACCTATATTTTTATAATTCTGCTAAAAAGTAACGTACTTTATACATAAAGCCTTAAATTAATTAATTAAATTATTTAATAATTTCAACATTTTATTGCCCGGACATTATGCATAATGCCCTATTAATCACTTGATAATAACATATATAATATATAGAAATAAATAACATAGAAGATATTCAGAATTTGTGGATTTGTTTATGCAATTTTTATCTAGTCTGGAAACGTTATTCTGATATTGAACACTGACTGGGTAATGATTACATGTATTAAAAAAGCCTTTCATACTAATGTGTTAATAGCAAAGTAATATACAAAACAAAATTCAACACACGCAGCGTATGTGCAAATAAAAATTATGTACGAGATTGTAAAAATAAAGTGTTTTATATTTTATTGCCCGAGATTTATAGTAAGATAGCATTATTTTTTTAATGTTGGCTATAAGATAATACAGCCAGTAAGTATTTATGAAGGTTATAAGTGTGGCTATGCTATTTTTTATTTTATTCTAATGATTATGTACGTCAAAAATTTTATACTGTCCACATAATTACAATAATTATTTTCTTTCATCTTTTTTAATGAAAAAAATGCGTGCGGTTCGCACGCGGTGCAAATGAAACCTTCAGAAAAATATACTTCAAGAGCATGAGACGAATAATATACAAAACGCTGAATACCTACTGTATTCTATTTTTTTTCTCGCACAGGCTAAATCATATTAATTTGAAATTGGAATTGCCACTGGCCAGTAGCACAAATAATAAAAACACATGTGAGCAGTTCACATGCGATAGAAAAGAAACAATTGAAATGGGTTGGCAACGTTTAGACCGCGGCCCATGGAGTATAGAGGTAAGGAGGACAATCCTCCCATAAGAGAATAGTTGAAAATGTGTCTATCCGTAAGCAGTGAATAACAGTTCAAATATTCTCCCACAACAGCACTTGAGTAAACTACAGGGTATGATAAATCGCCGTAAAATACGTTGATAGTGATTTTGAAAATAAAAATTTTGGAAGCAATAAAATAATTATTGTAAAAAGAATTATGGTGAAAGGCTATTTAGCGCTTGCCTACGGACACTTTTTTATACAGTACAGACTCTGCCTGTACTCCTTACCTCTACACTACATACCGCGGTCTCACTACCACCGCACCAACGGTGCGACCCGCCAGAGTCGCAGAGGATTCTTCCCCCGCGACTCCGCTTCGATTGCTGCGGTAGGGGGAGAGAACACCCCTCTCGTCGCAGCCCACCGAACACACATACGAAGTTGGCTCGCCAAGCCCACTCGGAGTGGCCACCTCGAGCTGGCCCACATCATCACAGCCAAATGAGTTCCTTTTTTTCACCGCGGGTGACCAAGCTACGGCTACTAAGCCGCCCCCCCCTCTCACCACAACTGGGCCCAGGACCGTTCGGGGGGGGGGGGTTATATCCTAATCTACCTAACTCTTTATTACTCTGCCCAATAAGTAACGGACTCTTAAAGCCCAGTCAATTTAATTATTTCAATACTTTTTATCATATTGTCTGCGTATATTGGGCATTTTTGAAACTGGACATAACGAATCATTTGGTCCATAAAAGATATACGCGCAAATATGCCGTATTAATAATAATGTCCTACAGACCGAATTTCAGTCACGACGACATGCCTTAACGCAGACCAGCCATCGGCACAGGACAGGATTATAGTGCATGAATGTGTGAGCACAGGTGCACTCTCTATTGCCTCACGCTCACAGTCCGATGGGACGGTAACCCGGTACGAGCGGAGAGAGATCAGGTGCAGGACCAACCTGCACCTGATCTCTCTTCGCTTCACGTGCTTCCTGAGGCACGGGGTAAGACACCGTTAATTTCATGACTCCGGACAGCTACTGAGAATTTCTTGATAGAAAAACTCACTTACTGATTTTTTGGCCCGATCCGGGTTTCGAACCCAGGACCTCATGATCATTCAGTCGCACTACTACAAGCAATAAACCAACGAGGCAGTCATACCATACTATGTAAAATTGAAATGTAAAAATAAACTTATATGTATATAAATGAGGATGTTCATAGTACATATAATTCATTTTATTTCAATGATTTGTTAAAAAATGAACATTGATATGTTGTTCTTGTACTATAATCTATATAAAACGAAAAACTTGAAGTCCATTTGCAATGTCAAAATACAATTTTTTATATACAACATGTAACATAATTAACGCACTTTGAGAAAGTAGTTTGTTCAGAATCGTTTACTAAATCGATTTCTATCATTTTTAATATAGGTAATTTTTTATCCCAAAAATAATTAAAACCACGTAAATTACAGTCACACTAAATTTGTACAATCAAAACAAACTAAAATGGACCGTAACTTCAGGCAATAGGACTTATTCAGTGTATTTATTATGATTATAACATAATATACTAATTGGGGTGTGTGAGGGTGTGCGTTCATTACGTTACATATTGTATATAACAAAAAAATATTTAAAAAATTATACGGTAAATACCGTATAATTATAACAAAAAAATATATTTTTTTTATCTCTCTGAAACACATGAAATTCAATCGTCATAAATTCCACGTAGATAAAGTCGAGGGGCACAGCTACCATTTTTATATACCTACAGTATTGTTGTTAGTGTATTATGCATAAACATTCTTCTTTATATCCCAACTTCAAGAAATTATTCAAAAATGACTGTCACTACTGTACTGGTGAATTCAGTGCCCTGTAAAGGATTATTCATAAATCCGATTCATTGAGCTGATTTCCGACCGACGGACTCGGCCATTATCAGTGAAGGTTAAAAAATTGATGTTTTTAAACACAAATAAAAAGGATTGGGATATTTTATTCCGACCCCACACCATGACACGAAAAATTTGTATCATTCATTAGTAACAGTATTAACAATTTAAGATCTAATATCCACTTAGCAGTAACAAATACCGATGCAGTCTGCTGTATACTAATCTAATATGGCAGTTATACGTATTATCATCATTCATCACATTCAAAGGTCCACTGGTGAAAATAGGCCTCCCTATTAGGTTGCCCCATAGTGGGGTTATAAGCCATAGTTGCCTTGCTTGGCAGATTAACGACCACAGTTTTTTTTGTGGATTTTGTAATCAGGGAGATGCAGCTGGACGTCTTCTATTTTATTACTCTCTGTCGCCACTTACAACAGGTGCCGGGATGCTTACTTTGAAGTTTTACAGGATGCTTTTTTTTTTTTTATAGAAGAGGGGGCCAACAAGCATGTGGCTCACCTGATGTTAAGTGACTACCGCCGCCCATGATCAACCGCAACACCAGGGGAATTGCAGGTGCGTTGCCGGCCCTTTAGAAAGGAGTAAGCTCTTTTCTTGAAGGTCCCCAGGTCGTATCGGTCCGGAAAAATCACCGGTGGTAAATTATTCCACAGAGAGGTTGTACGCGGAAGAAAACTCCTTTTGAAACGTACAGTGGTGGACCGCCAAGCATCCAGATGGTGTGGATGGTATCGGGACGTTTGCCGTGTAGTGCGTTCACGAAATTTGGCGGCTGGGATTAATCCGAACAATTCCTCAGAGCATTCCCCGTGATAGATGCGATAAAATACGCAAAGAGATGCAACATCTCTTCGCAGCGCCAGTGAATCGAGCCGATCGGAAAGCACTCGCTCGTCGACGATTCGAGCCGCTTTGCGCTGGATGCGGTCAAGTGGAAGGAGCTGGTACTGGGGAGCCTCAGTCCAGAGATGGGAACAGTATTCCATGAGCGGCCGAACCTGCGCCTTGTAAAGTCGCAGGCGGTGTGCCGGCATGAAATACTGTCCCGCTCTGCTGAGCACGCCAAGCTTTTTAGAGGCCAATTTGGCCTTCCCTTCCAAGTGACCACGAAACTGCACGTCACTCGATATGTCGACGCCGAGGATTCCGATACTGGCTGAGGCAACAAGGGGAGTGCCTTGAAACTGAGGGGATACGACAAAGGGGTTCTTTTTAGCGGTTAACGCGCAAACTTGTGTCTTCTGGGGGTTAAACTGGACTAGATTTAGTCGCCCCCAATCCGAGACTCTGTCCAGCAGAGACTCGACTTCAGACACAAGTTTGTCCCGGCACTCAGAGACGTTTTCCCGAGAAATATTGGCTCGGCCGGTGTAAAGAGCATCACCAGTGCTGTCATCTGCATAGCAATGAATGCTACGGGTTTGCAACATATCATTGATATGCAGAAGAAACAGCGTTGGCGATAGCACGCAGCCCTGTGGAACACCAGCATTAATAAGCTTGCAATCGGAGCTTGCACCGTCTACAACGACCTTGATGCTCCGATCTGCAAGAAAACTGGTGATCCAATCGCACAATTTCTCGGGAAGCCCATAGGAAGGGAGCTTCGAAAGAAGCGCTTTGTGCCAAGCCCGATCGAAGGCCTTCGCAATGTCCAAACTAACAGCCAATGCCTCCCCCTTGGACTCTACTGCCTCCGCCCATCTGTGAGTTAGGTAGACCAGAAGATCACCAGCTGACCTACCACGGCGAAAACCGTATTGGCGGTCACTAATCAGCTGGTGATCCTCAAGGTACCTCATGAGCTGGCAGTTTACAATGGACTCCAATTGTTTTGGAGAACAAGGAGGTGATGGCGATAGGCCGGTAGTTGGACGGGTCTGAGCGGTCGCCTTTTTTAGGGATCGGGTGGACGAAAGCCGTCTTCCATGATTTTGGGACTACGCCTAGGGAGTAGGAGTACCGGAAAAGACGCGTTAAAACCGGTGCCAACTCTGGAGCCCACGTCCTCAGCACAATTGGGGGGATTCCATCAGGCCCACTCGACTTATGGATGTCCAGGGAGAGGAGTGCTTTGCGAACCGAGCGCTGAGTGAACTGCACTTCCGCCATGGAGCACTCACACCGCGGGATGGTCGGCGGCGTACTCCCCCCGTCATCGAGAGTCGAGTTAGACGCAAAGAAAGAGCCTAGAAGATCGGCTTTCTCCTTTGCGGTGTGGGCCAGTGAGTCGTCCTCCCTGTGCAGAGATGGAAGAGATGGCTGACAGAAATTCCCCTGGACAGCCTTGGCGAGAGACCAGAATGCACGGGTTCCAGAAGGAAGACGAACTAGTCTCTCGCCAATTCTGCCTATGTGCTCTGACTTTGCCTTGGCAATGACTCTTTTGAAGGACCTAGAGGCGGAATTATACTTCTTTTTTAGAGCGCTGGTGTTTACATCCCTGGACGCTGATGCGTCAGCCCAGGCTCGGTAGCACTCCTGCTTATAGCATGATGCTATTTTACAGGAGCGACTAAACCATGGCTGAGATTTGCTTCCAATGGGCACCACAGAGGAAGGAATAAAAAGTTTCATACCCTGAAGTACCACATCAGCGACAGAATCCGCAACAACGTTGGGATCGTCCGGCGAGAAGCAAACCCGCCCCCAAGGGTAGGATGCAAAGAAAGACCGCATCCCATCCCAATCGGCTGACCTATAGTGCCAAACACGGCGGCAGCCTGCAGAATGCAACCGCGATTTCAGCGTGAGTGGCACCACACTCCGGACAAGACAATGGTCCGAGGAGCCTAAAGGGGCGTCGACGGAAATCTGATGTCCGTCCGGGTGAGAGGTCAGCAGAAGGTCCAACAGGGAAGGTGCATGATCCTCCACATCTGGAATCCGCGTAGGCGAAGTAACCAGTTGTGTCAGACCATATGCCAAGGCAAAATCATGAACAGATCTCCCCGCATGATCAGTTAAACGTGAACCGAGCCATTCGGCGTGATGGGCGTTAAAGTCGCCGAGGATCACGATCTCTGCGGAGGGGATCTGCTGTAGCAACGAATCTGCAGCCATTTGGACGTGGTCGAAGAGTCGGTCTGTTTCGGCATTACCGCTATGGGACCTATAGAGGCACCCGTAGACGCGCGGATGGTCGTCGCTGTCTACGCGTAGCCAAAGGATGGACAGGTCCGAACCTTCAAGTCTGCCGAGGCGTCGAGAACAGATGTCCTCTCAGATGCTAAAGAAAGAAATAAGAAAAATTTGTGCTTGAGTGTGTATCAAGAAGTTGAGTATAGGTTTAATGTAATTAGTATCTAAACTAGTGATAAAATTAAAAATTTTGTACAACCAACTTCAATACAACCAAATTCGTGTACTCGAAGTCAATTAAATATGCATTATTAAAGATAACTCAAAAACTACTGGTCAGATCTTGATTGTATTTATATAATAACACACGAGAAGCACCAGCTTTCAGATAACAAGGAAACATCGAAATCAGTTAACCACAGTAAAGTTATGAGGTAACACACATAAAAAAACCAGTCGAATTGAATACCTCCTCCTTTTTGAGATCGCAAAAAAACTAAACTGTTCTATCTATCTCCGTATGTCAGTCTGCATCATCCTCAATTAAATCCCCACAACAATATCGAACACAACCCTGAACATAACTTTTCACTTTTTTCTCTTTATCATGTCTTTTCGAATGCTGCATCAGCTTACTCCTTGTAAGAAACCGTTTGCTGCAGACCGTACACTGATGAGGTTTGTCACCAATATGCATCTTGAAGTGCATAACTAAATTGTTCTTTTGTGTGAAACTCTTCGGGCATATCTCGCACTGGTAGGGCTTGATACCCTTGTGTATCTTTTCATGACGGTCCAAGTCTGCCTTCCTGTAGAATGCGGCATCGCAATCACCGCAGATGTAGTTCTTGATGCCCTGATGTGATAATACGTGGATACTGAGGTGTCCGAGCTGGGTGTAAGTTTTGCCACATGTAGTGCACATGTATGGTCTCTCGCCACTGTGGGTCCGCTGGTGCTTTTTAAGCTCATAGCCGGTTTGAAATTTTTTCCCGCATTGGTCGCACGGTATGGGATCTTTTTGTATTGCAGGCCGTTTTCGTTTCCTCCTAGAAAAATTAATTTTATTTTTTATTATTCCAAGCCAGTGCTTGTCTATTCTACCAGATGGTAAATGGTGATGCAGCCGAAGATGATAAAGCGCAATTACATAATAAAAGTCTATTCAGTCTTGCCTTGAAGATACCCACATTGTAATCGGATGGAAAGACGATCAAGCAAACAGTTTGGTTTGAATGTGTGGTAAGTCGACAACGAAAAGGTTATGGGCAGAGTTTCTAGTGTCCGATGGTGGAAGGGAGAGGTAAGTTAAGCAATTCTTGCGCACACTGTTTAAAATTCATCCTGTAAAAAAAATTTCTTTTTTATAGGATAGGTTGACAAACGAGCACACAGTCCACCTGATAGTAAGTGGTTGCTGTGACCCATAGACATTTACATCTATCCTTGATTACGTATCACCAAAAAAACACTAACCATACGTAACACAGCAGCATTAAGCTACTATTTTACGCTGGTATTCTGTGAGGGAGTGGTCCTTCCCCGGTTGAGCTGACCCATTCGTGCTACAACTATACTACTAATGTAGCTGCAGTGTGAGTGTAGAGAACCCGAGACCTTTTTCACTGGACATGAGGTATTCCATCTTACCCCTACGGGGGTAAGAATGCATCTGCATTTTGATTTTTAATCAAAGACAGACCATCGACTTACCAACAGGCGGACTGTGTGTTCACTTATCAGTTTATCACCCCATTCTATAAAATAAAATCTCTTATATTTCTTCCTAGTTTATTGTATGTTTTGGTTCATACATAATACTTTTTTCTCATATTTTGTTAGGGTGCATATAATTTTTTTTCTCATCACAATTACATTATATAGGTACTTTTTATTGTTACCTACAGTGATAGTAGTATGGTTACAGTGTATATCCACTGAACCATCCAAGCCGCACGAGTGATTCTCGCCCCACCTGTCTGCGCATTAAATGTCACTTTAAGACTGTGCGAGACACTCTCAACAAAAAAGAGTTTGTGGGGGCCACAGTCAGCATGAACGCTTCATTCTATATATTTATTGAGTATTTTTGTACTTGTACGCAACTGTAAAATATATATGTATGTTTGATTCATATAGGCTTACTTTTTTGGTTCTGGCTCTTTTTCTTCTTCATCAGATATTTCTATCACTTCACTTTTGATCATCACCTCTTCAATTGCAGTTTCAGCCATTTTGATGCCCTGGAAACTGAAATTGTTATCAAAATTTCTCCATCTCATGAGCATGTTAAAGTACAAGTTTGTACTTGTATGTACATAGTACATAGCTAGTTTGTAGGGTATTCCAATAATGATGTAATGATTTGTTCTCATTGATATGCTAAGAACTGCCCTTTGGTTTAGTGGATGTAAACGTGACTGATGATCTTAAGGTCTCACGTTTGAATCCTGGATCGGTTCAGTTATTAGGGTTTTCTGACAATAAATTCAAAGAAAGAAAGAAAGAAAGGACTCTCACAGAACACTAGAGTAAAATAGCAGCTTAATGCTGTTGTGTTACTTAAGGTGAGTGTAGAGAACTGGAAACCCTTTCCACTGGAAATGAGCCATTCCATCTTCATCCTCAAGGGTGACAATGTACCTGTATTTTCATTGTAGATGTCTATTTGAGATGGATGTAGATGTCTATTGGCCGCAGCATCCACTTACCATCAGGTGGGTTGTGTGCTCGCATGTCATCTTTATTATATTACTGTTTTAGGGACTTTTTTGTTCTTCATCATGTTTTGCAGGCAGATTGATGATATCAGTACTTGACGTCTTGCACCTTTAACACTCTATATTTACATATGACATCATCAAAAGCAGAAATAATCAGTTTATATTGATGAGGTATTATGGCAGATTTTATCCTACAAAAAGACCCCATCCCATGCGACCAATGTGGGAAAAAATTTCATTTATTCTTAAAAATTCTTCATTTCTTAAAAAGCAACTTCTTAACATGGTTGAAAGTTATTTAATCATTATGTTCTGATATAACATCCATACTATCTTTTGTATGCATGTGGTTGTCTAATTACAAAACTGTAGTCTATCTATATAAAACACAAAAATGTTTCTATCTATGTCGGTTATAGACTTTAAAAACCATCCAACCCATTTTGATAAAATTTTTGTGTTTTTTAATGGGTCTCTAGATGGTTTATATTCACTTTTTTTATAGAATAGGGAGACAAACAAGCACACAGTCCAATGGTCAGTGGTTGCTTTGGCCCATAGACATCTACATCCAGCCTCGATTAGGAATGAAAATACAGATAAATTGTCACCCGTGAGGACCGAGATGAAATGGCTTGTTTCCAGTAAAAAGGGTGTCCGGTTCTCTACACTCAATATACGAAACACATATTGTATGCTGGTATTTTGGGAGAGGTCCTTCCCAGGTCGAGCCAATCTATTCACGTTACTAATATACCCAGAAATCAACCATGCAAAGCCGGAGCCGATCACTAGTAACAAATAAACTTATTCTACTTGGTAAGTTGTTACTAAAGTTCATGTACACCTGCAGTCAATTTTAAACAAAGGCTAAAGATACATTGTCACCTCTGAGGCCTATGAGTGAATGCCTCACAGCCTGTTATTATACTGACTCTCTTTACTCTTTAGATTGAAATACAGCAGTGCAGCATTGCTATTTGGTAGCAGATTTAGTTAAAAAGGGAGGTAACTATCCAGTTAGACTCCTACACATAAGAGTCATGGTAGCTCAGGGGCTGTGGTCTCTGTAAATTTCATAGTATGCATGCAACCCGGGTTCCATCCCAACCATCATGTGTAGGTAATATTATAAGTGGACTATCATTATCATTACAGCCCTAGACAAGTCCACTGCTGAACATAGGTCTCCCCCAAGGAATGCCACAAAGCACGGTCCTGAGCCACCTGCATCCATCGACTTCCTGCATGTCTTACCAGGTTGTTACTCCATCTAGTAGGGGGTCGCTCTACACTATGCCTACAGGTATGAGGCTGCCACTCGAGAACCTTTTTCCTCCATCGATTGTCAGTTTTTCGAGCTATATGGTCGGCCCATTGCCACTTCAGCTTACTAATCCGTTGGGTCCTATGTTGGCTGTTATGGTCCTACTGCAGATATCCTCATTTCTAATTTTATCATGCAGAGAAACCCCGAGCATAGCCCTCTCCATAGCTCGCTGAGCGACCTTGAGCGTCCTCAGGTGGACTATGTAATATAACAATGATATTGGAACAGTTATATGACCTTGAGATAGAAAACAGCCTGACCCAATCATAATATGACCTTGATTGTTTTTTAAACTGCATTAGATGTAATAGATTGCGTCTAGACTTTTACTGAAAATGTACACGGATGAATATAATAAATTATGTTGCTTCGTTAATTTTCTATTAAAATAAATACTGTTTAACAAACATATCTGACGGATATGACAGACGGGATGCATATAATTTAAACAACTTCATATTCTACATTGCTAAAGGTGAATTAAAATGATCAAATTTATTTTTCATTATAATTTATAAATAATTTATGACACATACCGAACAAATTTTGTAGTAAATAATTACGTTTCAGCATCACTTAATTGATGTAAAGTGTTGTGTAAAGCATTTGTAAAATTTAAGTCATAACTTATTTATGTAACTACACTGATAATTTTTATTAAAATATGTTTGTTTTATGTTTTCAAAAGCAAGAGCAAGAGCGTCATAATGCGGTATCAACACAAATATTGGCAAGCGGCATTTATGTTTGTAACTGTGACAGGACAGCTGACAGTGACAGTGATATTTTTTTATTTTCTTTTTAAAGGCAAAACGTTTTATGCCCCTACAGCCTAGTCTAACATATATTTTGTTCACAATATGCTGATGACGATAGGCTAACCTAGCGGACCGTTGAGACGATAATACGAAGTCTTTATGTGGCCGCAGAAGGAAAAGGGGAGATCTCCCACCGGGCAAGGTGTCATGCCCGGGGAGCGGCCAACGCTCCGTGTGATTCGGAATGTTGATAGCGTGATTTAGGCTTCGGTGTATTTTTCGCTTGCGGCGCGATGACAGCGCCGCCACATCACCCCCCTGCTCGGACCGGAGGTCGATAGTGCAGTCCGATTGCCGGTGTGTTCTTTTAATGCCGGTGGGAATGCATGCTGTGTGCGTAAGGGCAAGTGACACCGGTGCGAATGATATGCCGATGTGTAATGCATGTCGTACTACGCACTGGCAAGTGATGCCGGTGAGAACGATGTGCCGGAGCAAATGTCAGAAGTCTGCCTTATAATATCTGCGGTGAGTGGAGACGAAGACAAGTTGGACTGGCTCGCAGGAACTGAAGACTGCAGAAGACGATTCTCAATAGTGAATGGTAAGAGTTCTTGAGGATAATACCGAAGGCTTGAAGTTGTAGTTTCCGAAGGTTGTTGGTTGCGTGTTCAGATCACGTCGGGTGGTCACCACTGTGGCCGTGAAAGGAAAAGGGGAGATCTCCCGCCGGGCAAGGTGTTATGCCCGGAGAGCGGCCAACGCTCCGTGTGATAGTTCGGAGGTGTTCTATATATGCTGTTTATGATTCGGAATGTTGATAGCGTGATTTAGGCTTCGGCATATTTTTCGCTTGCGGCGCGATGACAGCGCTGCCACACTTTAGTTAAAAACGCTGTAAAGCACAATATGTTGATGTCACATTGTGAAGTTTTTGGAGATTTTTTTTTGAAGGCAGTTCGTACCAGCACTAGAGAGTCTATGCGATTGTAGGTACCTCAAAGATGTCTAATGGACTAAATAATCTTAAGTAAACCATAAACACTTGAGCGCTTGTTTAATAGTTCGCTTGCGTCTTCTATCTTAAATATAATGCTACTAAATGACGACTAAAGATTGTACTATAGGGTTAAAGGTTATGAAATGAAGTTAAATGAATGATTTTATTCAACATAGATTATTGTGCCGGACGGGCGAAACTCTCCGGAGTAAATGTTGTCGAAGATACTTCGCGAGTCGCTCACGTCCTACACTTATAGGTTCCGGTGGGTACTTTCACTGCCGTCTTTGTGGTTGCCGCTGAAATATTGTGGACTAAGGTTCAAATCAAAATGCACGATTAATAAATACAAATAGCAAGGTAGTGGCCAGCGGTTCGACTGATTGATTAGTCGCGAAATTTTATAACTATTGACCACGGTTGTTGAACTACGGTTGTTCGCTATTGGTTGGTCACTGTATATTTCAAAAGATTTTTTAAATTGTACGGTAGCATCAAATATCTATTGGTAGTAGCTGGTTTTCTAACACTACTGACTAGCAGCTATTATAAACTAAACTAGCTGATTTTATCACTTGTGTAACTGCGGACATGAATATTTTCTCACCATTGATATCAGTTACCACTTTCACTATATGTAACTGCGAATATCATTACACCACCAATATCGTTACGACGTTTTTAGGCTAGCTAACACTTTCACTATATGTAACTGCGAATATCAGTTACGACCTTTTTAGGCTAGCTAACACTTTCACTATATGTAACTGCGAATATCAGTTACGACCTTTTTAGGCTAGCTAACACTTTCACTATATGTAACTGCGAATATCAGTTACGACCTTTTTCAGCTAGCTAACACTTTCACTATTCACTATATACTGCTACTAGTCACTTCAGCTACCATCGGATACCACTCACTTCACTTCACTTGTCACTGGTAGTTCTTCACACTACTACTCCTACTGGGTCAAGAGCCCCTAAGGTAGACTTTGGCTATACTTTGCCATTTTCCGTTTTGCCTCTTTATTGCATAAACTGTTCACTATGCAAATGGCATAAATTACAATATTTTCTATACAAAACTAATTGCTACACTAACATGTTATACATCATCAAATCGGTAGTCTGATACTTTATTAGTATATCATAAAGGTTACTAAAAACATTAACACTGTAAAAAGTTATTAAACGAAATGTCCCAAGTTTTCATAATATTTGGGTACATTAATTCTTTGATTTTTCTATAACTACGAAATGCGTTTAATTATACAAAATATTCCTACACTTTCTTAATCTATAAGCCATATATGCTAATTCAATGTCATATTTACAACTCTTTTAGAACATAAAATTATTTTCATTATTTTTAGTATGAACTATTACGCAGTTAATTAAAAACTTCTAGAGAGTTCTACGATAAGACGCGCTGTGATTGGTCGATTTTTCTTAATATAATAAAAGTTGTTTACATTAC